CGAGAGAGCAGCCGTTCCACCTGCTCTGGAAAAAGCACCTTTGCCAGGCTTAACTGGAGCCAGGATCCTGCAAAGGCCCAAGTTTCTGCCTCTGCTGCTCCTGCGGGGTGGAGGTGGATTCTGGTGGGCTTGTGGACCGAGTCCTGGACTGATGCTTAGTTGCCCGAGGACCGGGGGGGGGGGGGGGGGGTTCTGGCAGAGGAGCTCCTTCTGCAGGGGTAAGCTCTGGAGGACCTCCCTGTTATGTTCTGAGTTTATTCTATGCTGTTTAGTTACAGTTTGTGCTAAGGTATCCTAGTTTCCTTTGTCATGATCGGCTGTCTAATAAAGACCTTCCAGTGGTCCTGAAGCCATACAGAGTACCCTATCAGGAAGCTCCACTTAGGTCCAATCAGACCTCATGAAAGTAGCAACATTGTATATAGTTCAATATTGGAATGGTATATGTCTGGGTGCCGCTCTTATCAGAGCAGATCAGAGCTGAGCAATGTTATGAATAAAAGCTTGTTTAATGATCATCATCTCCTGCCTGTCGATACTTAAAACTCCCACTGCTGGTTCCTCAGGGGTGAGTTCTGGAGCAGATGGGCCACGGGCATCTGCCCAGCAGGGGTCTTCTGCAGTTTCCCCGCACTCCCCCAGGCCACACCTCTGGCTCCTTGGAGGCTCCCAAATCAGAGTCCAGAGCCAGCTCAGTGGGGGTCATGACGGCCTTATCAAACACAATATGTTTGCTGTCAACTTCACAGCATTCCTACTTTCAACCTGATTAGTGTTATTATGCCAGTATTGTAGAAGGAACTGAGAGATGATGGCTTACCCCTGCCATGGGGGCATTCATGGCTTTTTGAACCAGAGATTTCGTGGGTTACAACTTAGTCTCTTCTTAGCACTATGCTAACACATGCAACATTTTCACGTTTTAATGGGCCTTCCAGGGTCTTTATTTTAACTCCAAGTACCAGTCACTGTTGGAGATCAGTCTTACTATATAAAGAACACAGAGATTTTATCCGGTTAAAAAAACACAGGGGAAAAAAACCTATGCTTGATATCTCAGTATAATATATGAAGGGACACAGCACTGGGCTTCGTTTCACTGAGCTTTTTTTGAAAGTAGCCATTGCCATGTTGTTATATAAGCAAAGGCAAAGGCAGTTCCAAAAAATCTGTGGGACATTAGATGAAATCAATTGAGTATACAAAACTGCATAGAATTGTGCCAAAAGCAACCCCTGGCATTACAAAGGACTTCTATAGCATATTTTGTCCTGTAGGATTGGTATGAATTTCAGCACTAGATAATAATATGGGCATGACTTCAAGGCTATCGAAGGAGGACTTGTAAAATAATCGCTATTTGAAAAAAAAAATCAGATGAGCTACAGTATACAGGACATTTATATATTACCTTCAGCTATACCGTTGTGCTCCGCAGGGAAATTTATTATTGGCAGTGTAAGAGGAGCTAGATATAAACTTGGAAGCTCTTCAGGCTTTGTGCATATCTATGGTGCTTCTTTTCTACAGCAAGAAGTCAAAGATCCTAGAAACAGACAACTCTATTAAAAGTCAGGAAAGTTCTAGTATCTCTGGCATTTGGAAACTGGGGCTGCTAGTTGGGTACTGTAACAATATGACAGGTTTTAGGGTTTTTTTAACCTGGTATATTTAGTATTCTATGATCTGACAGTGAATTATATATTTTAATGATGTGACTTTACTGATGATAATTTGATTTTAATATTTTGATTTGCTATCCATTCTGGCCACAATCCACCACTGAGATAGGTCTTATGTACATTTCATCCTCAGCATTGCCCCATGAGTCATCTAAGTGGCTAGGCTAGTAAGTGAAAGAATGGTCCATCATCACCCACTGAACTTCATGGCTGAGTAGGGATTTGAACTTGGGTCTCCCCAACAGCACTCTTAAGCACCATACTATATTGATTAATGAGCATCAGCCCACTCAATTCTGTGTTGGAGTTTGATCCCTGAACTCAAGCAAGAAAATAAGTAAACAAATAAAGGCTTTACATACTAAATCTGTGAGCATCCTGGCCACAATCTGGCAAAGCTTCTTGCAACTAAAAGAACTAACGGATGTAATTCCTGAGCCTCTGTCCATTATTTTTGAGAATTCTTGGAGAACAGATAAGGCGCCAGAAGATTGGAGGTGGGCAAATGTTGTCTGCAGCTTCAAGAAGGGGAAAAAGGAGGATTTGGGTAACCACCGAACTGTCAGCTTGACATCTATACCTGGGAAAGGTTTAGAACAAATAAACAGACAGACAGTCCTTGAGCATTATAATAATAATTATTATTATTTTCAATTTGTATCCCGCCTTGCCGGGCGAACTGCATTTAGAAAGGATGCATTTAGTTGCATTTAGAAAGGATGGCTGTGATTACTAAGAGTCAGCATGGGTTAAATCAGAAGAGTTTTTGGCTAAGCATTAGGAAGAACTTCCTGACAGTTAGACCTCAGTGGAACAGGCTTCCTCAGGAGGTGGTGGGCTCTCCTTCTTTGGAGCTTTTCAAACAGAGGCTAGATGGCCATCTGACAGCAATGCTGATTCTGTGGATTTAGGCAGATCATGAGAGGGAGGGCAGGAAGGGTTGCCTCAGTGCTTAGTTCTTGTGACCCTTTCTTACATGCCCAGGGAAATGCTGATCACCACTTTGAGGTCAGGAAGCAGTTTTTCTCCAGGCCAGTTTGGCTGGAGATCCTGGAGGTTTTTTGTCATCTTCTGGGCGTGGAACAGTGGTCACTGGGGGTGTGGAAGGGTAGGTATTTGTGAATTTCCTGCATTATCTATGATTCTATTAAGGTCAATAGGATATGTTAGTCATAACTAGGAGAGGGGAAGCCTTGGCCAGGGAATTCATGGCCATCAGTTTCTTCAAGAGGCCCTCAATGGCCAGAGAGAAACCAGCTTTAGCAGCCCTTCCCCTCCTTCTCCAGAGCTGGTGTGTGCCCTGAGGGGCAGGCGACAGAAACCCAGACTAAGGGACTTCATGCCACCAGCTCCTGAGTAGGCAGTGACTGTTCATTGTTGTTGTGTCTTCAGAGTTTAAAACAGATGTCTTCACAGGAAGGCATTCAAACAAATTACATTGAGACAGGGTTGCCATGTCCTCCCTGGCCCTTGGCAGGGGAGCAGGGGGTAGGGTTGCCAGCTCCAGGTTGGGAAACTCCTGGAGATTTGGGGATAGAGCCTCAGTGGGGGACAATGCCCTAGAGTCCACCCTCCAAAGCATCAATTTTCTCCAGGGGAACTGATTTCTGCAGTCTGGAGATGGGCTGTAATTCCAGGGGATCCCCAGGCCCCACTTGGGGCTGGCATCTCTTCCTTAAGAAGCTCCATTCTGGTTTTTTAAAAAATAACTTTTTATTTATAACCTTTTCTAAATAATAATAATAAACATATAACTTAAAAATTATAATACAACATGTAACACACTTAGCATAAAAAACATAATTTTCAATAAAATACAAAACATACTTATTTGGTAAAACATTGTTGGCATTTGTGTTATTTGAAACACAGTCAACAAACGGGAACCAACTGTCTACAAAACAGGATTGTTTCAAAGAGTTCTTCAAGAGGCCCTCAATGGCCAGAGAGAAACCAGCTTTAGCATTGTTAAACATTGTAAAACATTGTTGGCATTTGTTATTTGAAACACAGTCAACAAACGGGAACCAACTGTCTACAAAACAGGATTGTTTCAAAGGGTTGTCAGCACATACTGAGAAGAAACTTTATCTGTTACCATGATATTTTGGCAAACCCTTGCTTTGTTGATAGTATCCTATTAGTTTTCCAATTCTGGGCAATCAGGGTTTTGGCCGCTATCATCAATATGAAATAAGTTATAACTACAGCTTGGGTATTACTCTGTCGTCTCAGTAATTAAGTAAAATGGTCTCTGGTCTACAGGGGATGACACAGCCAACAATTTTTTCAACTAGCAGTACAATCCCCCCCCCCCCAAAAAAAATTGAACCACTTTTGGACACATCCACCAACAATGGATAAATGTGCCAGGGTGACCCCCATTCTGTTTTGAAAACTGGTCCTCTACATGCTGCTGTGAGAACTCCTGAAGCTTATACTGAGTCAGACTTTTGGTTTCTCGAAGTCTGTATTGTCTACTCTGACTGGCAACAGTTCTCCAGGTTCTCAGGCTGTGGTCTTTCACAGCCTCTATTATTTGATCCTTTTGCATGCAAAACAGCTGCCCTACCACTGTGCCAAGTCCCATTGAGTTTAATGGGATTCATTGCTTTGTAACACATTTCAGATGGGTAGCCGGTGTTAGTGTCATGTGGCAAAAACCAGCAAAGAATCTTGTGGCACATTAGAGACTACAGCCCCAATCACACGCAGAGGTTGCGGCGGGATACTCATGGATGCTGGGCAGTTTACGGGTGTGATCAAATGGGCACATCTGGCTAGTGTCACGCACCAGTTGTCAGCCCGTCACGTCCCGCTGAAGATCCGCAGTTAAAAGGTAGTGCTGAAATTCCACTACCTAATGGTTGCGATGGGCCACAGACGGACTTCCTCCGTCTGATCGCTCCAGCGCGCTCCCCTTGCCGCATTGAGGTGCGCCATCCCACCATCGCATCTGATTGCGTTCGGGCGGGTCAAAGTGCGCCGCCGCAAAAAGCCACGCCTCCCCCCGCGTTATCTGGCCCGTGTGACCGGGGCCTAAGTGTTATTTACTGCAGCTTAGGCTTTCTTGGGCCACAACTCACTTTGTCAGATGCATAAAACGGTTGCACAAGTAGATATGTATTCTGAGTACAAAGACAGGGGAGAAAAAATTAAATTACAAGCATCTTTCGGATTGCAGCTTTGTGACTTGTGCTTGCTTGACTGCACAGGCCATTTTAGGCTCTCATTTGTTCCTGAATACAGTCTGAAAGTATTCTCATCTTTGCTTTGCTTTCAACTCTGTCCTGAGAGAGACACATCTGGAGAGGCAACATGGCTGATTATGCTAACAAGATTCCAAAGATTGTAATTTTATCTTCCCTGGGACATCTTCAAAGTATAAACTTTCAGTACTTTTCTGGTGTTAGCAAGAGACTTCAAAAGGAATCATTCCAACTTCAAAGGACTTTCCTTCCTTGATAATGAAGAAATTTGGCCTGATCAGGGTTATCTAGAAACTTACTGTTGTCTCATCACTTGGCGGGACACAGTCTACTGAAGGGTCTTTGCCAAGCTGAGCAACTTAAATTTGGTTGCAAAAGCCATGGTTATCAGCATGGCTATCAGGACAGGCTTAGTCCTAATGACTACAATTGTACTTACTTCCAGGTCTGGGTGTGTAACCAGAGATCTCTCATGGAAAATTTTCAGCAACTAAGTATGGAGTTCGTAGGAGTTTGTGAGATGGCCCTGAAATGGCTTACCTAATTTCTCCAAGGTCAGGGACAGAGGGTAGAGCTAGGAGAGAGGGTGTCACCTAGATACCCCCTGGTGTGTGGGGCAATCCTCTCCCCAATGTTGTTTAACATCTATATGCGCCCCCTCGCCCACCTGGTGCAGAGTTTTGGGCTGGGTTGTCATCATTATGTAGACGACACCTAGCTGTACCTGTTGATTGACGGCTGGCCAGACACCGCCCCAGCTAACTTGGCTAAGGGGCTGGAAGCCGTGGTGGGATGGCTGAAACAGAGCTGGCTGAGAATGAATCCATCTAAGACAGAGGTTCTGTGGCTGGGAGGGGGGATTCACGGCTGTGGCACCAACTCCCAACTCTGTGTTGGCGTGCTGCCAACACTGGCAGCATCTGTGAAGAGCCTGGGTGTGTTTCTGGATGCCTCCTTAAGAACATGAGAGAAGCCAATGTTGGATCAGGCCAAAGGCCCATCCAGTCTAACGCTCTGTCACACAGTGGCCAAAAATACCAGGTACCAGGTCCTTATCGATGAAGGCCCAGATCACAAATGTTGCACGGCTGGCATTTATGCAGTTAAGCTAAATCAGGCAACGGGCCCCCTTCCAGGCTAGACTACTGTAACTTGCTGTATGTAGGGCTACCCTTGAGACTGATCCAGAAACTACAACTGGTCCAGAAAACAGCAGCAGGGTTCTTTTGGAACCACACAGACAGCACATATAGAACTGGTCCTCTGCCAGCTGCACTGGGTCCACACTAATACTGGATCAGGTACAAGTTTCTGGTATTAACCTTTAAGTCCCTAAACAGTCTGAGACCAACATATCTACAGGTCCACCTCTCCTGGTATACCCCCCAAAGAGCACTATACTCTGGGGAGAACCTTCTGGTGATCCCTGGCCCAAAAAAACATCCGGCTGTCCTTAACCAGAGCTTTTTTGGTCCTGGCCCCAACCTGGTGGAACTCTGCTGAATGACATCCATGCCCTGTGGGACCTATTGCAATTCTACAGGGTGTGTAAGGCAGGGATGCTCTTCCAGGCTTCTGGCTGAGGACAGCAACGGTCTCCATTTAGCCTGGTGCCTTCCTTCACTTGCATTTGCATATTGCCTGTATTGTGCTTATGATATGTTGCTTACCTGTATAAATATCTGTGCCTTTGAGAGCCAGAGGCTCATTGCTGTGTGTGTGTGTGTGTTGCTATGGACTGCAATGGCAGGCCTTGCACTCCGAGGTTGCCCACAGTGGGGGCCTTACAGGGATGCCTGCCATCAAGTATCTTGCTTGCCATGGAAATTTCCACTGCACCCTGGTCAAAAGCAGATGCCTGCTCTGGAATGTTGCAATGTGCCCCAGTACCAACGAGGTCACCATTTGGGGTACACATGGAGACGCTTGGATGAGCAACAGATCTGACCAGCAGTGATGGACGGTGGGAAGGAGTACAATTCCACCTCGTTATCTGGCTTGGCATCAAAGAGACAACATCTTTTATGGCTTGGGTACCCAACATCTGGCAGCAGCAACGAAGTTGCCAGGGAAACGGAGGTGCAACCAACACCAAATGGCCCCGCTTTGATGTAGGATAGAAGAATCTGCATATTACCCACTACCCCTCTTTGTAGGACGTCACCCCTGCCCAACCTATAGCCTAGGAGTAGAGGACGTAACATAAGTTTTATGGTAGACAGAGACTGCCCTGAAAAGCAGCTCTTAAAAGGAGAAACTTCCCTTTGTTCTCCGGCTAGCTCACCCTTACCCCTAGTTGCACTAAGGTGCTGCAGGTAACTCTTAAGTTTCCCGGAGTCGCGACCAGGGAGCGCGCACGTGGCTGTGGCTGGTCCCAGTCTTTGTGTGTCTAGAGTCCACCCGCTGTTGCCTTGGCTGCCCGTCTTGGAGGAGAAGATTTCTTCCCTCAGTTGGATCTCAGATGAGTATGACCGTATACCTTAGAGTCATCCCCTTTGTTTGATGCTTTTGTTATTTTTCATGCTTAATGTTTTCTTACTCTATTGTAACTGAGGAGCTTGTGTGAATTTGTGCGCATCTGTTTTTGGTATGTCTGAACAATTGCTTTAGTAAAGACAACTTGATTTTAACCCTAGCTGTTGTCTGTCTTCCTGGGACATAGCGGGCTTTCGACACGTGTCAAATCCGACCTCTGTATACGCAGATTTTGAACTCACGCACCGCCCGCCTCTGTACTCAGAGTCAATCCGGGCTCCCAGAACCGGTTCCGGTCCGGGTAACATCACCCCCATGGGGTAGGGTACAATCTGAAATTGTTTGAATTTTTTTGCACTGCTTACTGACTAATTGTTTTTAATAGACTTATGAATGTATCTACTGAATTGTTACATTGCTTTTAATTTATTATGAATGCATTTATTGAATTGTTGTTCACTGCCCTAATCCCTGTGCACAGGGGAGGGTGGACTAAAAGTTGAGTTTATAAATAAATAAATAAATAAATATCCAGGATACTACAGAAGAAAAGCCATGGCAATTGGATTAGTACAAAATCAAACATTTGTTCCCTAGATGCACCCTAAGAAAATCTACTGTGTGTCTTTCAAGGGACTTACAACCAAGTGAAAAATTTCACTGCTTCTGACTCCTTTTAGGCTGCATTTTTGCAATAAGAACTGATGAAAAGCCCTGCTGGATCAGACCAAAGCTGTGTCTAGTCCAGCATCCCGTTTCCCATAGAGGCTAATGGGATGTCCAAGGCAGAGGCTAAAGCCAACCCCTGTGGATGCCTCCCCCCAGCAACTGGTGTTCAGACATTCTGCCCCTATGAACATAGGTTTCAGAGGAGCAGACATGTTCGTCGGTAGCACAAAATAAAATAGGGGTCCACTGGCACTTCTAAGCTAGTGGCAGTAAGTTCCACAAGTTAATTATACCGTATATATTTGCCTGTCCTGAATCTTCTCCCCTATTTTGTGTCCCCAAGTTCTAGTGTTTTGGAACAGGGAAAGTTTCCTCTGCATTTTCTCCACACCACACAGCACTTTAAAACGTCACATCCCTTCTCTCCCTAAACTAAATCATCTTTTCTAAATGACAATGCCCTTGATTGATCTGAACACATGACTGGTAACAGTTGATTCTTGGAGTAAAGACAAGCAAATCCCTGTCAATTTAACTAAATGTTGTATGAAATGCTGTTCTGATGCCATCATCACCATGTTCTGTCCACCAGCACTAAGAGTACAATATCTCACCACAGCACACTGTTATAAGCACACTTTCCCGGGAGAAGTCCATTGAGTAGGTTTGTGTAGGATTCTCAATAGACCAGCTAAGGGTTGCCCTGTTAATCAAGCTAGCCTCATTTATTTATTTACTCAGTTTATACGGCACCTTTCTCTCCAATGGGGACTCAAAAGCAGTTTACAGCATTCTCTTCTCTTCCATTGTACACTCGGTTACGGATATCTGGAAGACATTTTTGGTATTGGTTAAAATTTACTGCTTTTCTTTTAAAAAAACCAACAGGCCTTCCTTAATTTCTTTATTTTTGGAGCTGCTGTAAATTTGTGCTTATTTCAATTATTCGGTCCTGCTTGTGATACGAGAGGGGCTAAGTACATTGATGTTTTTAAATATACAAATATCCCTTTGTGTTCAAGGTTATTGTAAATATTTTTGCCTGAAAACACCTCTTAATACATCACAGGCCTCTTGCAAAGAGTGATGTAGCAAATGCAATTTTAATGAGTTCACAAAACCTCAAAGAAGTTTTACCCTGTAGATTGCTGTGCTAAAAGATACCTACCTGGGTCAGCACGCTGGTAGAAAGGCAGTCAGAAGAGGAAAGGCGAGCGAGGTCATTGTAGAGACAAGAGGGTTACAAGCCCTAGTTCTGTGGCTTCTTCACCCCACCTTCACATCTCTTTCTTATCATACCCCAGACTTTCAGTGCTTCAATGATCACCCTCAGCTAACCAAAGGTCTTCTGTTCTCTTTAACAATTCTGCCTGCTTTCCTTTGCCACCCCTTATACCTGGCCAGTTTGGTGTAGTGGTTAAGTGTGCGGACTCTAATCTGGGAGAACCGGGTTTGATTCCCCACTCCTCCACTTGCACCTGCTGATGTGACCTTGGGTCAGTCACAAGCTCTGGCACAGCTGTCCTTGAAAAAGAGCAGTTTCTGTCAGAGCTCTCTCAGCCCCACCCACCTCACAGGGTGTCTGTTGTGGGGAGGGGAAGGGAAAGGAGTTTGTAAGCCGCTCTGAGACTCCAAGTGAAGGGCGGGGTATAAATCCAATCTCCTCCTCCTCCTCGTCCCCGGAACATCTTCATGATTGCTACCTCTTCCCTCAGATTTCCTTCTCAAACTGCATTTTTTTCCTCAGGAGGGCCTTGGCTTTACCCCTTTACTCCTCACTTCAAATTCAGTTCAACTGGAGCCACTCAATATTTGGCCCTTGGCTGTCCCCAACCTCCGCCATTTCCTCCTTTCTCTCTCTGCTGTTTAGTTATCTTTATTCAGGGGTGGAAGTCAGTTAAATTTCTTACTGGCGCTGTCTTTTTTGGGGGTGGGGGTGGGGACAAAGCAGAAGATGGGACATGCCACCTCAGCCACTTTGTTTTTCCTTCCTGCCCTTCCGGGTCCCTTCATCATCTCCAGACCCCACTGTCTAAATTTAGGACGTCAGCTTCTCTGCGTGATGACCTGTCTTCTGTGTATTTGTACAACGCTCTTTGCCTAAAATTTCTACAGTACATTCTTCTAGTATTGTGTAAAGTGCCAGTCATTAATGGCATAATTAATAATAACAACAATAAAGATGACAACGCAGGCACGATGTTTAATGTCTTGATGCGGGGCCGTTCTTGCAGTCCCCTTTTCCTTTCCAGAAAAGACAAGACTCCATCCATCCTCGGCCTGATCATGCAGGCAGGAATCCAGCCAGAAAAAAGGGCGGGGGGAATATCACAAGCCTCCCAAACTCCCTAATGGAAGAGGAGCTGCATTAAGCCCATTAACATCAGCCAAATGGTTATCATCAATTTTTAATCAGAAAATAAACCCCAGAAATATGGTAAGCAAATCCCAGCAGCAAGTAAATTTAAATAACGGTCACAGGGAAATCCAATCACTTAAGCAAAGGAACTTCAACCAACCGAGGGAAAGGCGGGGGGGGGGGGGGGAGGTGAGGAAAGATGCTCCTTTCCCTTGACAAAGGGAAGGACGGACAGCTATATTAATAAAGATTAAAGCGCTGCAAAAGCAGCCAGCCGAGCGGGCCCGTTTAACCCCTTCCCCGCCGGCCGCCTCCGCCGACTGCAAGACAACATGCCAGACTTTCCCGCCTCACGCTTGCAGGAGGACCCAGCCAGGGAAGCTGCTTTTGCAAGCAGGTCTCGGTGCCCGGCAAGGCAGCAACCCGGAGGCGGACCCCTGGGCTAAAAGCAGGGGCTCAGGAGCGCCTGGAGGATCCCTCAGCGCCTGCCTGCACCACCATTGCCTTTGCCCAGGGGCCGCCGCCGCAAAGCCCCGCCAAGAGTTGCCACCAGCAAGATGGGAGTTTGCCAGGAGGCGTGAGGGGCAAGCAGAGTGGAGGGCGAGGGGGATGGCGGAGGGCAACGCGGGCTGGCTTCCTCCTCCTCCCCGCACTCGCCTCTGCTGACTCGCGGGCCCGAGGGGGGGGGGGGGGAGGGGGGGGCAGCTACGGCAACTTCACCTCGGCCGAGTTCAAGTGCTGCCAGCTGCCCTTCCACACCTTCCTCGACAACGTGGGCTGGTTCGTGCGCAAGCTCTCCGGGCTGCTCATCCTGCTGGTGCTCTTCGCCATCGGCTACTTCCTGCAGCGCATCATCTGCCCCAGCCCGCGCAGGCACAGCCGGCGGCGCCCGCGGCCCGGCCACGGAGGCGACGAGGATGACGAGGAGGAAGGAGAGGACGACGACGGCGACTTGGACTCCCCCGGCGGCAGGGGCAGCGGCACCCCGCTCAACGTGACGGCCGCCACCTCGCAGGACTCGCTGCTGGACAGCCGGAGCCGCGACCCGCCGCCGCCGCCGCCTCTCCTGCACGTGGTCTCGCCCGTCTTCTTGCAGCTGCCCAGCTACGAGGAGGTGAAGTACTTGCCCACCTACGAGGAATCCATGAGGCCGCAGCAGCCCCTCGTCTTGCCCGTCACCAGCCTGGCCACGGGCACCGGCAGAGGCCACGCCGAGCCGGACTGCTGGGCCGGAGGCAGCTGAGCCGTCGGGGGCGCTTGCCGGCGCACACCCCTCTCGCCCGCCCGGGGGAAGTGGATTCGCAGCCCCAGGGAGAAGGCGCTGCCCACGTGGCTGGCCGGCCGGGGGTGGGGGGAAAGCGCCGTTTCCCGGAGAGCTTTGAAGACGCTGGGTGGGGAAGGGAGTGGGGTGGCGGGGGCCCTTCGCTCCTTGCCGAGTTGCACACTGAAGAGACTGACGCTGTCGCCGGGAAAAAGGAAGGAAGGAAGGAAGGGGCGACTCTCACTGGGGCAAACGCCAACACGCGCCCACCAGTCCCCCAACCCCGCCGTCCTGGCCGTCGGCGAGACGCTGATGATTGTATGTCTTATCATAAGTGCCTAGGAGTTGAATGTGTGAAAAGGCGTGTTCGGGTGGACCTCCTCGGGAGGAGAATCTGTGATTTGCCTTTCCCTCTTCTCCCCCCGCTCTTGTCTGTCTTGCGGGGATGCCTTGTTTTGTTTTCTGACACCATATCTTGCCGCAGATTAAAATGCTGGAAGACATCGGATGTGATTATTTTCCTTGCGACCAGTGCAGCTCAGATTTTTCTCCGTCGTTTCTCTCTTGCGAAGGAAATGGGTGGCGGCTGGGTCCGCGTGGATTTAAGCTTCTGTTTCTTGCAAGTCTTTGAGTCAGTGGGTGTTACCGCTGTCGGAGAGGGAGGGGGAGGCGTGTTGACAGAAGAAAGTGTGCGGTTTTTTTTTTTGGGGGGGGGTCCTTGGAATACTGCCTTTCCATTTTGAAAGGAATTAGGGATGACTGAACTGAAGGATTCAATGTGTTCCCCCCCCCCTTGGTTTTTGGAAATTCGTTGAAGAGCTTTCTCTGTAGTTAAAGTGAACTGGAGTTCTGTGGCATTTAAAGACTAACAAAGTTTTGATCCAGCGTAAACTTCCACGAACCAGAGATGCTTAAGCAAACTGTGTTAGTCTTTAAGGAGGCACAGGACTCCTGTTTATTATCGTGGCAGTGATGAACACCGCTGCCCCCCTCCCACAATTCCCTGTAGTTCATAATTCATCCTTCCACTTTTGGTTACTTTAAGGAGCAGTTTGAGGCTTTCTAACCTCACAGATTTTTATTCTTGCCCTTACGCTTGAGTGATGTGCTTTCCCATACCATGGGAAAATGTGGCTTCACTACAGCAGGATTCATTCATTTTGTTACATCATTTATACCCTGCCTTTCCTCCCAGTGGGGACCTAAAACAACTTACGTCTTTTCTGTGCCTCTGCATTATCCACACAACAACCTTGTGCAGTAGGTTACAGTGAGACTGCCATAGCAGAGTGGGGGTTCGAGCTTAGGATCTTCCACTACACCCATACTGGCTAGTAAGGACATCACTTAAAATGGGGGGGGGGGAGAGAATGTGCACTCCCAGACAGAGTTCACACATTCCAAAGGGGAAAAAATAAATTACTAAGGGCCTAGAATTCAGGAATGCGGTCACTTTTCTAGGCTATCTAAAGTATCCCCCATTGGAACGCTGCATTGTTTTGGTCTTTCTATCAGAAGAAGGGTTGCAGCCTAGACTGGTATGCTGTATGTCAATTTACTTAGGGGACACATGTAGCAAGAGGTGCCTGCAGGAAAGCCTTTGTTAAGGCATTATTGTTTCATCTCTCTATGTGTGTCTCTCACACACAGAGACAGTGCTCTGCAGTATAATAAGAATTACAGTACTGGTCTCGCAGGATGACTGAGCCCATCTGCTCTTAGTATAACTCAATGGGCTGTTGTGAGGATAAAACAGAGGAGGGGAGAAGGGTGTGTGGCCTAATGGGCAGAGTGTTGGGCTAAGAACTGGCAGGACCATGTTTGAATGCCCCATTCAAGCATGAAAGCTGGCCAGGTGAGGTTGGGTTCATGACAGTCCCTCAGCCTAACCCACCTTGACAGGGTTGCTGGCAGGGCCGGCTCACCCACTAGGCGAACTAGGCATTCGCCTAGAGCACCGGGCCCTGGATGGGGCGCCAAGCTGTGCCTCCCCCCTCCTCTGGCAGGGGGGGGGAAGAGGCAGTGGTGGCAGCAGCAAAAGGGTGGCTGGCTCCAGAGGTCTCCAGGTCTCCAGGCCCCACCGGGAGGTTGGCATCTGCGCCACAAGGCAGCCTCGCCTAGGGCGCAGAAACACCTTGAGCTGGACCTGCTTGCTGTTGTGAGGATTAAGCGGAGGAGGGGAGAACAAAGTGAAAAGCCATTTTGACTCCCCGACCAGGAAGAAAAGCGGGATATAAATTTAGAGGAGAAGAATGACGATGCAAGCCACTTCGGGCCCACACTGGGGAGAAAAATTGGATATAAATATTTAAATTGAGCTGGATGACGGCTCCTCTGGTTCAAGGAGCTTCAGCCTCAGGTAGGCTGTGTGCCAGTGGCTACGAGGAAAAAGCTACACAGCAATTTCCAGCAGCGCCCAAGAGCCAATTGGCTATATTCATCGACCCCTAGACTCCTTTATTTGGAACCAGTTCCGTGGATATCTGTTGAACTTTCTTCCCAAGGCTGGCTCTCCTTTGTATCCCAAGACTACAGCAGTTGCTTGGAAATGCTGTGGAACTCTGGCATATTGCCAACAGAATACCCACAGGATTGCCTGTGCGTGTTGTGCAACTGATGAAGCAGGCTCCAGTTCTTGCAAGCTTTTGCTAGAATAGAAGCTTAGTCTTTAAGGTCCTACACCATCCCTGCTTAATGATGATGTACACTGTTTCGCACAGCTACTCTTCTGGAATTAGTCTACACAAGTGACGTTAACATGGAATTCACACTGTATTTATTTAATTCATTCATATTCCACCTTTTTCTCCAGGGGGGAGCCCAAGTGGCTTGCATCATTCTCTTCTGCGCCATTTTATGCTCGCACAACCCTGTAAGGCAGGTTAGGCTGAGAGTGTGTGACCGGCCCAAGATCACCCAGCAAGCTTCTGTGGCATGAATGGGGATTTGACTAGGACAGTTCCCAGCAGTGGGTGACTGGCAGCACTGTCCTAAGCATGTTTACTCAGAAGTAAGTCCCATTGAGCTCAGTGGGGCTTACTCTCTAGTAAATGTGCTCAGGACTGCAGCCTGACTGTGTTCAACTACTGTGATTGGAGCTGCACATAAGTAACTTGATAGAACTGTTCAGGATTATAGCCCCATCAGTTTGCTTGTTTGCACTGGTTTTGAAAAATGCCTAGTGTGGCATGAAATTGCCTTTACTAAGGGTCTAACTATATTACACGTATATGCATTTAAACCAAAGCCCAAGACTTTGGTTCAAAGCTATAGGCACAGGAGAAAGTATATTTCTTTCCCTGCTGCTGCTTTGCTTTGGTCATGCATATATGCATGCAACATGTAATTCGGCTTCAAGGATCAATGCTAAAACGTTGTGTGTGTTTGGACTTGGATTTTAAGTAGCGTCGTCCCCCCCCCCCCCCCGGCCTTTGAACGAGGTGGTGGTGGGCAGTTTCCTAGTAAAATGGAGAAGTCAGAACATGGACAGGAGAGTATTTGAAAAGATAGCACTGCAGGAAAGGGAAAAAAAGATTTTCAGTTTCAGAGTTCTGCAGTAATGTGCTGGCTTGAGAACTGTAGCCACAGGATGGACTTCGTAGCTCAGACAGAAAAACAATCTAGTTTTAAAGAATGGGATAATCCAGAGCAAGTGAACTGTGGATTATACTGTTAATATTTCTAATGGTGAAACTTCAAATTTTTGATTGCTCTTTCAACTGAATACTGACATAACGCTTTGCATCTATGGATGGATTGATGTTTGGAATTGTTTCTGCTGGTGCATGTACCTCAAAATGTCCCATTGAATAGGAAGCGTGGCTTACATTGTGCTGTCTTTGGCCTATAGCTCCACCCATTTCGGGCCATGAAAAGGTATTAGATCACATTAGGCACAAGGGGTTCTGGGTCATTCTGGGAGTGCGTCTGCTAGGGTGCCAGCCTGCTGAAAAAGATCGTAAGTTTGAGCTGCTTCTGGTTAGGCCAGTGCTGAGCACAAACTGGCTGCGTGCCCAGACAGCAAGTCACAATTCTTTGCAATGCCGCATTATGGAGCACATTTGGGTTGCACAGGACACCCGTCAGGGTAGTCTGAAGCTGTAAGGAGCAACTGAAGATCACTCCAGATTCTGTGAAGTTAGTCCTGAGACTGAGTCTTGGTGGTGGGGAAGTGCTGTGAAGTCACAGCCGACTTATGTTGACCCTCTGGAAGCAAGAGATGGACAGAGGTGGCTTGCCATTGCCTGCCTCTGTGTAGTGGCCCTGGACTTCCTTGGTGGTCTTCCATCCATGGATTTACCAGGGCTGTCCCTGCTTAGCTTCTGAGATCTTACAAGATTGGGTAACCTGGACCATCAAGGTCACAGCAGAGATTGAGTCTTAGCTTCCCCCCCCCTCTTACGGGCTCAGAGGTATTTGAAAAAAGAAGGGCTGGTGTATTCTGAAGCATGCTATCTAAAATGTGCCTGTTTCTTTCCTCAGCTTGGGAGAAACCAGTTCTGTGGGCTGGAAACAGAAATTGGTCATGTAGAGCAATTGACTTTCACATCATTCCCTCCTGTTCCTTCAGTGTTCCTCCATGTACTTACCTTTGGTACTGCAGTGGCTTATAACTTCCTTACCATTTGGAAAATATGGAGAGATGGGCAATGTAGATGAGGGCTAGTTGTTAACTTGATTACCAGGGTTGTTGGTGGAAAGTGTTGTCAAGAAGAAGAAGAGATTGGATTTATACCCCACCCTTCACTTGGAGTCTCAGAGCAGTTTACAATCTCCTTCCCTTTCTTTCCCCATAACAGACACCCTGTGAGGTAGGTGAGGCTGAGAGAGCTCTGAGAGAACTGTTCTTGAGAGAACAGCTCTGAGAGAACTGTGGCTTGCCCAGGGTCACCCAGCAGCTGCATGTGGAGGAGTGGGGCATCAAACCCAGTTCTCCCAGATTAGAGTCCACGCTCCTAACCACTACACAAATAGGCTCTCTGCTGATTTATGGCAGTCTGATGGGGTTTTCAAGGCA